GAAAACTGTGAAGAGTCCTCAAACAGAGCCAACGAGTCATGTACCCATGATGAACAAAACTGTGAAGAGTCCTCAAACAGAGCCAACGAGTCGTGTACCCATAATGAACAAAACTGTGAAGAGTCCTCAAACAGAGCCAACGAGTCGTGTACCCATAATGAACAAAACTGTGAAGAGTCCTCAAACAGAGCCAACGAGTTGTGTACCCATGATAAACAAAACTGTGAAGAGTCCTCAAACAGAGCCAACGAGTCGTGTACCCATGATAAACAAAACTGTGAAGAGTCCTCAAACAGAGCCAACGGGTCATATATACCCATAATGAACAAAACTGTGAAGAGTCCTCAAACAGAGCCAACGAGTCGTGTACCCATGATGAACAAAACTGTGAAGAGTCCTCAAACAGTGCCAACGAGTCGTGTACCCGTAAAGAAAAAAACTGTGAAGAGTCCTCAAATGGAGCCAACGAGTCGTGTACCCATAATGAAGAAAACTGTGAAGAGTCCTCAAACAGAGCCAACGAGTCGTGTACCCATGACGTACAAAAGCTTAAAAGTGTGTTTTCAATATTTAAAAAAATAACTCCACATGACCTATTGGATTGGTGGTGCATTTGTTTGTATACTTTTACTTTCCATGCATGAAATCTCCACACATATTCATAGTCACATACATTGTATATCCAATTTGGGGGCTATGTAGTGACCACCACTTGATGAGTGCTGTTTACAACAGCTACACTACAACTGAATTGTATTGCTTGGGTTGATTATAAAACCTACATGGGCCTTTAATAGTAGACTATTATAACTTGCTCTAAAATGGAAGCCGACTGAACCAACACCAAAGAAGTTGCCCCTTCTGAGTACTCACTGTACGGTTGTGTTTATCATCCATTCTAAATAAAAACTAATTGGCTCATGCTAATATCCAATCAAAACTTATTAATACAGAATACTTAGACAAAAAAGCACATTGACAAATTTCCTGCTGACTTTCTTTTTCAAACTGATTTTGGCACGTCTGTAGGCAATATAGTAATTTTATAATTAAATTTTTTTCTCTTTTAATTGTTATTAAAAAATCTTAAGATGAATTTCCAATCATTGACAACCTGAATGAAAAAAATGTTAATTTATGTGAAGAATGCAAAAAAGTGGTCATCCATCTTCTTTTACATCATCAATCACTTTAGATAATTTCACAAGCGTCATGAATCATTTATCTAATTCTCTCCCTTATGTATTGACTAACATAATTGACGTAGAGGTGACAATCCACTTTTGAAGTACATCATACAGTCAAGCTCCTTTTTGATCAAGTGCATGTACCTGTTTTGCACTGAACTAATGACTTGCCAGACAATTTAACATGTGTGAGTCTCTAATGTCTATGTTGACAAAATGTAAAACATATATTGTAATTGCAAATTATAGTGCATTGTGGGATAGATTTGTTAGATTGCGGGAGCAGACACATTTTATAATTGGCAGAGTTGTGTTTGATTTGGTCATAACTTTCCCACAATACACCATGATTTGAATTGCCATATGATGTATGGCTGCCAGTCGACCATCTTGGATTTTATTGTGACACAAATTAAGTGTTGTTGTAACTTAATTGGACAGCTTAAATTTGATATATAAAGCAGGAATGCGCAAAATACTGATGAAAATTGTTGATTTTCATCAAACAAAATGGCTGCCTTTCGACCATCTTGGATTGGATTGTAACAGAAATAAACTGTTGTTGATATGCTAGCACACAATTGTTTGTGAACCAAGTTTGGACCTTATTGGACATTTTGTGATACAAGCTATTTTGTATCTGAACAAAAAAAAAATCTGGGTCAACAGTATATCATCATGCATAAACCATGTACCAAGTTTAGGGAAAATTGATTCATGAACTTCTGAGATAATGTGATAGGAAACCAGAACCCAATCCCTGGACTACCGTATGTCCAGTTGTAAGCTAAAATGCAATCATCTACTATCATTTTGACCTTTTGCAGATTTCTTTGACAAGACAATTTAAAAATACACAATGTCAGGTCACATTAGACAGGTGGTATTAATATAAATGTGGTCACTATACACAGGTTTGATTGTATATACATTTGTTAGACATACACCACTGAATTATATATCTCCCATGAAATTCCATGAAAAATCAATTTTGTGTGGTTAACACTAGAAGACTGACATTTACTGTCTCTCAATAAATAATGTGTTCTACTCCAAGTGATAATTTTAACAATCCATAATGTTCAATTTCTCCTATATGTAATGATGCAATTTGACATCGACACATTCAGCTGACCCCGGCAGCTATTATGAACCATTATGCATTGTGAATATACATCATACATATTCTGTGTTCAGACTAATTACGAAAAATTCTTCACTTCAAAAAAAAGTCATTGATTGAAGCATTTATATGGGCTGATAGAATGCATTTAATTCTCACTGCCAAATGAAAGCATTATATTTATTATTTTGGGGGGGAAATAACTTTTCCAATTCACTGAAAACATTTGACAAAAATATAGCCACAATTTTTTCTTGAAAAAGTAAATACCATATTTGCTCTATAATGTAACGTTACCCAAATATGGTAATTTGGGAATAAACAAAGAAAAAGAGCAATTTTTCCCCTGCCAAATTTAAAAATGCCATTGTATCTAGGCAACCACATTCATAATGGCCATATCTAGGCAACCACATTCAAAGTGATGCAATGATTCAATAGACCCGATAACTTACCGTTTTGTGTTTTTTGTGTGCCTCATCAACATACTTCTGTAAATCTTTGGCAATTTCTTGTAATTTTTGTACAATCTGTTGATGAAGACTTGCAAGTTTCTCCGTGGAACTTTTTATGATTTGCCAGTATGGTGCAAATGTCCTGGCGAGTAAAAAAAAAATTGAATATATTTTCTGTGATAAAATTCACTGTACGTAACATATCACTTGTACTGTAGTCAGTAGGAGCTACAAATTTTAATAATTTATGAGTGTTCTTTCTTGAGTGTCGCATTAACAGCTACCACTTTTCAATAAAAGAAAGTCTGAGTCATGATGTAACACATTGAACACACAACTGCCCTATATAATGAGTATTTTAGGTAATCCCTTGAATATTTGTAGCTTCTAGTGAAGACCAATTTACCAAATTCTCAATACTGGTGCTGGTAATGGAGGTGAAATATACAAAGTTATGTTTACGAATGTATGGTCAGTGTAATTATTTTGAAATTTGGTGAAAAACGTTTTCTATTACCGGTAAGAGAAACAGACATGATCTATGCATCACTGAATAATTGACACCTAAAAGGTTATCTCACTATGGATTATTCCAGTCTTGTTTTTTCCCGTAGTGATTATCACAGTTTATATCATCTTTGTTGATTTAAGACTTTCAGAAACCCCACCTACAAGAATGCTAGATGGCCCACAGCATTGAGGTTGTGCCTTTAAAGTACGAGGTTGTTAGTCAAATTATTTTCTTATTGTATTAGATATTACAGATTAGAAAACAGTATCCCACAATTCCATGGTGCAATATCAGAGATTGAGCT